GGAATCTCTCCATTAGAAGTTAAATTAGTCAAATATATTAATTTTTTGAATTGTGGAAACAGGTAAAGATCCATTCAAATGTGGTTTACGAGAGCTTGTTTTCTTAAGCACAGACAAATCTTTGAGGGGCCTTCTTTCAAGCGTTTTTGAAAAATACCTTCAGAGTTTTTCCAGAAGGAAACACTGAAAATCATTAGCAGCACAGACAAGTAATTCGAGAGAGGTGCTCTTCAACGGCAGTCGAGTGTCCATGTTACAGATGTACTCCGGCAGGTATCTACTGCCCCCCTCAGACCATTCCAGTATTAGAGAAGAAGAATTCTTAGTCAGGAATTAATAGCATCCTATTCTTTTGCACTAGTTTTCAGGTGGGGCAAGGGGAAGAACTCTAAGAAGAACGATGTTGTTAAGTAGATAGTTGGTGAATGTTTTTGTATATCAGCAAAAGAATTTTTTTTGTGTTAGAAATGCACATTAACACAACTATCTTCATGAGAAAGACAAACAATACTTCAAGTTACATCTCTAGCTGTTCAATAGAAATTAGGTTCAATAGTAAGAACTGAGGAAAAAAATATCTTAGAGCAAAGGCTACAGACTGGGCTGTGGAAAACCTGGAAATCGATTCAAGCTTCCAGAGTACATTTATATAGTTTCAGTTAAGTGATTCCAACTCTGTGATTCATGTCTTCATATGCAAAACAAATTATGCCCTATCTTTCCTTTTATCTTCCTTTTGCTTCAGAAAAAGCTTTCGTAGCATGATTAAGGCCAGATTGGCAGAGGGTCTACCTTACCTAATCCACAGATGGGGGGATAACACAGCTGGATTTCATATGCCTAAATAATACGCAGTGCTCAGTGTACGTACATGTATCTGTGTGTGTATATATATGTGTCCAACAGCTCCCTAATCTCAGCTGACATCAAGTACTCCCTTACAACAACAACTTGGTGAAAATGTAGACCCAGTTAGTAGGCTAATAAGGACAACTGCAGATAGAAAATCAAATCATATCATGAAGTTAATATTTTGTGTTTGGGAAGTAATTGTTTTAGTTTGCCTGAGCAGGTTTTTTAAAACAGATGAAAAGAGAAGATTTGAAAGAAGATTATTTTATGCATGGAGTGTTCTTTCTGTAGGAAGAGAAAGAAATTATGCTTCTGAAAAGTTACTTTGTATCCATCTCCCACTAACACAACCTGCTGAGATAACAGCAAACATAAATACTAGGCTTTCATATGGTGAAATTGCTTTATTACTTCCCCATGCACAATTTAAACAAAATGGTTAAGGAAGAACAGTGATAAAGATTTGATGGTGCACTTCATTCCATATACCTCTTAACAAAGGTTCCCAATGAATAAAAGTTACATTTTTTTTAAACAGGAAAGAATGTATCAGTATTTTTTTTAAACTGAAATAGTTACTTTCTACTTTGGTGAATCTGAATTTTCAAAGCTTCTAATTGAAGCTCTCAATTACATACAATGTATTCCATTTGCTGTCCTGTCTGTACTCATTTCGCTGCTAATAGTAAAAAAAAAAAAAAAAAAAAAAAAAAAAAATTTCCCTTTTTCACCCACCAATTCTCAGCACACCAAGGAAAAACTCGACATCATCCTTGAAGTTAAATCACTCAGATGTGACAGAAGGCTCCTCCTGTTCACATGCTTATTATACATCCACTGAAATGTAGTACAATACATCACTGAGGTACGCTTAATTTTGCTTTTGTCAGCTTGCTATAAGTTTGGGTTTATCATCCCCATTCCTTGGCATTCAATGATGTAGGTATCTTTACTAGGATCTTCCTCTTCCGATTTTGTCACAGTAAATTTGGCCTAAAATGGATTAGAAATATACCACTAATTAAGTTATAAATATACACAAGTTTAAATATTCAGTATCTGATGTCCAGTAATTGTATTGCCATATGTTTATGTATATTAGAGCTTTGACTGATTTAATTAAAAAATATTTAAATAAAGGTGGTAAAAGTATCTAACCATTCTAAAGGCATTTAAAGTATGTTCACTTTCTACAGGTGAACTCCAACACAAATATTGTAGCAATAATTTTATCAATGCTTGTCCTCCATCATCAAGTTCAGTTCACGATGCCTGCCAGACTGTACACTGCCTAGTTACTGGATGACAACTGATAGGTAAAACTTTCTGAACTTCTGGACTCACCTTCGTCAGCTGCTCTGCAAAGTGTATAGCCGTTTGAGTATGAAGTGTAATTGGTCCACTTTTCACTCTAGACACCCCGTTTGCTAGCGCCATAAAAATGATCAGCTGAAAGGCAGGGGAAGTAATTATTAAGTAACTCTTCAGATCGTAGGAACTTCTTGATTTAAAACAAACAAACAAAAATAAAACAGTGCAGGAAAAACATGCAAAATGTCCATACATGTAAAAATATGGTCTGCCAAGTTTCATAAAAGTTCATGATGCTGAGTGTTAAGAGTGATCCAAGCAAGGCTCAGGAAGCTTGGAAATTACTACTGTAATGCCTATTACAGAATGGCTGCTACTTTTCCACAGCAGAGTTTGCCACTGAATTGCTGTTAACCCACTTACCTTTGCTCTCCCCCACCCTCCTGCCCTGAAATTCCTCAAAGTCACATCAGACACCAGATTGGTAGATTACCTTTATAGAGAGAAAAACTCAGGAAGAGGTTTTTCAGTTCAAACACTTTCTCATCACATATTAGCCAGACAGATATTTAAAAAAAAAAAAAAAATCTCATTTACAAACATCACCATGACAAGTACTCCGTAAAGCGTCAGGTAACTCTGAGCAGTTCCCATACACACTGAATCTAGCTGTGGCATGTTTCCACAAATCGTACTGCGTGTTCTTCGGAAAAAGTAGGATCAGTCCAAGACCTAAATACTTGCTATTATACAACATAATAGTAATGTGTGTTTCAGTGTTTACAGCTAAGAGGTAATGTCATCCTATCTAGAATAGCCTAAGATTCTTACCAGGCTGCATTATTGAAAATAAGATAGTGGAGGGTCTTCACTCTCAAACGAAATTAGGTGAGCAAGACAAACAGGAGAACCTCCTAGATATTCTGCTCTCTAATAGCTTCACTTAGTATCATCCTTCAACTAGGGAGCTATTTTTACTCCAGTACACTGAGTGCCGAATAGAAGCAAATTCCTACCTCTTTCTTCCATATCTACTAAGATTTACAGGAAGGGTAAATTTAAGGGTGTTGGTGCAAAGCCAGGAGCATGTGTGGTTCCTAAAAAATGTATATGATTTGCTAATCCTAGTGATGTTGTGACCACAGCCAGAAACCTCTTAAAACTTCCAATCATCAAACAATTATGTAAAGTCACACCAACCTGTGGAGATACAGTCTAACTTTGAAATCTACATCTCATTCTTTCCCTGTTCAGATTTACATTCTTTGCAAGTAATACATACATGCATGTTTTTGCTACTTCTACTTCATGTAAACACATACAGGAGTCTTACTTGGTCTTGCAGAGAATCATCCACCGTTCCACCATGTTTAAGATTCCTAAGCAGTATCTCAGCTGCTTCAATGCCAACCTTGTCAGAATTCTTTCCTAACAGAGAAATATAGATTAGGATGCTGCCAATTATTATTTAATCTTTTAAAAATACAAAAGGAAAAAAAATAAATCAAGAAATGGTCAATTTATTAAACCGTATTTCCAAGCTCTTGCCTCAAATGCCTGCTTAAAAAATCGCTCCCATCTTATGATGGCGTATAGTTCATATTTCCTAAGCAGTGGAAAGAAAGTAGCCCCAATGAGTTAGAGAAGCTTTTTATTCAACCCATTTAAAACCAAAATCACTTCTATTCCTTTTAATCTAGATACATATCTAGATTCACTGTTAAACAAATACTTCACAGGTAAATCACGAAGACTGTATGTTCTTAAAGTCCAGAAGCATTTTCAACTCAGTGATCCTTAACAATCCATTCTGATAAAAGATGAGTTTAGTAATTTTGTAATTTTTGTCACTATGCACAAGCAGTTTGGTACAAAGTGTGAGATTCCATTTACTACGTTTAAAATCTGCTCATTTCCACTGTCCTTTATTACTAAACAACATTCATTTAAAAATGCAACAGTCAAAGCATCAGATCTTTGAATAGATTATACTTCAGATTCCTATTTGTTAACAGAACATTAAGTTACATCTGAAAGAGGATAGAACTCACGGAACTCTCACCTCTCTTGCCAAGTGATGACCCAGCTAACAAACAACCTGTTGAAGTCTCTGCAACAATGCTAAGCAGAAAAAAATGAATCAACAACAAAATCACTCACATTAGACTTTACTCATCAGGTATGTAATCAAGGTCTAGCTAATCAACCAGCAAGGTTACAGGCATCAATAGAAAGTTTGGGCTCATCTTACATTATTCCACTTCCAGTCCCAAAGGCTTGATCATCAGGTTCTCGAACAGGCTGAATGTTAATGTAAAGATCTCTGATTTCTTTTCTGATGCATCTCACTGCTGCTGCTGCCATGTCTTTTGCCAGCTAACAAAATAAGAGGTAAAAACATTAATTAAATTATGTTACTATGGTAATACTTTTTCCTCATAAGTCTAATTATTACAGTGAATCCCTGAAAAAGGGACTGCTTTATCAACTAGAAAAACATAGGATTGCTCCCCTACAAGCAAGCACCCAACACCATCTCTTCCAATAATTTTCCCACAAAGTTAAGGTCATATTAAATGCTGAACAAATGACAATTATAGTGATGTATGTAAAAGCTTTAATATCAATAGAAATTCAAGAACTTTTTTCCATTCATAGGAAGAAAGTTTTGATTTTAATCTTGATCGTCTCAAGACATTAGATTGTAAAAAAATAACAAACAAAACACCCCACAATTATTATGTACAAGATATACTCTATAAGACATAATATACAGAACAACAATCCTAAATCACAGGCATGTGCGGGGCAGATGAGGTTTATCCCATCCTTGTGATCCAATCATAGCCATTATTCATAGGTTTGGAGGTTTTAAGACCAAAACCAGCAGTCCACAGCTCTTCAGAAAGTAATTCAGTTTCTCCTCTTCGTTTCTCTACGAATTCCTAGCCTGTGTGTGACAAGGACCCTTAAAGAGATTCCACCACTCATGCAAACACAGACAGGATAGGAATAGTAGAAAGAAGGGGGTACAAAGGCCCAAATTTCTCTCTGGGTAAAAATACCCTTAACTTGTTCTGTCTAATAGCCTTAGCAATGGTTGAAAAATCTGGTGTAGCCTGACCTCTGTCTATTACAGTGAACCATAGTTTACCCATAAATCCATGAACGAGGGCTATGATTTCAGATTTAAAATAATCCACATATATATGAATGATACATAAATCAGATATGATACCCATCAACATATGCTAAAGACTTTTGAACAGTCATATGACGGATATCAAGGATATTGTTCTCATTTCCTGTTTTAGCTGTTACCATATTGCTATGCAATAAATACATTTTAGAAATGTCCAAAATTCTATTCTACAGCCTGAATAATTTAAACCATTCAATAAAGCGTTGTGGTTTAACTCCAGCTGGCTTGAACCACGCAGCCTCTCGCTCACTTCTTCCCCTCCCTACTCCCCCCCTCAGGGTGGGGATGGGGGGGAGAGTGAAAAAATAAAGTAAAACTTGTGGGTTGAGATAAACACAGTTTAATAGGAAAGCAAAGGAGGAAATAATAATAGATAAAATAAGTGATGTACAATGCAGTTGCTCACCACCCAATGACTGATACCCAGCCCACTCCTAAGCAGTGATCACTGAGCCCCCCCAGGCCAACTCCCCCAGCTTATGTACTGAGCATGACGTCATATGGTATGGAATATCCCTTTGGCTGGTTTGGGTCAGCTGTCCCAGCTGTGTCCCCTCCCAGCTTCCCGTGCACCAGGCAGGCCAGCATGAGAAGCTGAAAAGTCCTTGATTACTTAGCAACAACTGAAAACATCAGTATGTTATCAACATTATTTTCATCCCAAATCCAAAACACAGCACTACACCAACTACCAGGAAAATAATTAACCCTATTCCAGCCAAAACCAGGACGTAAGGCTACTTAGTTTGTATGTGAAAGACTGCAGAATACAGGAACAGTAGAGCTATGCTAAGTAGATGACATGGAATTTCATATAGATGTATGAAGCTGGATACTACCAGAACTATTACCAGCACTTACTTTTATAGGCAGCGCTCCAGCAACAAATGCTCTTCCATATATCTTTGTCACTGTGCCACGTTCCGTTAAGTTTACTGGGCTCAACTCTTTGACTGGTGACATCTGGACTACAACTTCACCACCTCCCTGAGGATAGTAGCCCCTATTTAGAAACAGTAATCAGGTATAATTAAACGCAAAAAACACAAGGAAACCAAGAAAAGAGCCAGAAGGCTCTTCACATATTATACATTTTTATGTTCTCTGTTACTGTACATACAAATTTTCTTGATGTGTGCCTTAGAAATCTTTAGAATAGAATTAGGTTCTCTAACAGTATTATTTCATAACACACATCTTATTAACTACCTAAAACCAACATAACTGGCACCTCAGAAAAAGCTTAGTAATGTACTGCCTGTTCAGTATGCGCTTCCCTCAGGGGTAGCCCATAGGAAACATTAAACAGCAGCTGAAGACTCAGCAATGAAAAAAAAGACAGGAAAGAACCATATCACATTCACCATATGGTGACAGTACACACAGGGGCAGCTAATGTAGATTAGTTCATGTATTACAAATTCATCCTTCAGCTTGATTGAGAGCACCTTGTGTGTGTGCCTCTGTGCTCATACACTGGTTCAGTAAGGCCTGCCTCTGCCATAGATCTCCATAACGCACCTCTTTTTTATGTCACAATTAAATATGAAATTGAACTTCTCAACTATCGGCTTGAAAACCTGAAAAACAACCACATATAAAAACACAGAGTGAATCTATTTTGCATTTATAATTTCCCATTATTTTATGCAGTCTTCAAAAAAAAACCAAACAAAAAAAAAATTCAACACAAAAATTTCAGTTACTTTATATATAAAAAAAGATAGCCAGTCTTATCCATCCAGCTTATTTGACATTCCTCATATTTCATTCTGAATGACACTTTCTGTATATGGAAAGAGAAATTCTTAACAATTCACAGCACTTATAGAATAAAGAACATATTTTAAGCGAAATTTTCTTTAGTGACTAAAAGTAAACAGACTAGTTGATGTTTCAGGGAATTCCATGAGACACTGCTTGCTCTCTACATACAGTACACTAATAGCATTATATTCCCATGCCTAATTCCATATTTACAAATAAACTTGCAGTAAGAGCAACAGAATTACAGGAGTTACATGGCATATACATGCATGAAAGATGCACCAAGCCAAAGAAATTTTTCCCTACCATGACTGTGTAGTCTATCTGAGGAGCCATCTCGGCATTAGTCCCACCTTTTAAAAGAAGTTCTGATGGGGAAGCAGCAAACAGCACACAAGGCATTGCTACCTGCATCAGCAGACACACACTCCTGAAAGCAATTACAAGATACTCAAATGTAGTGCAGTCCTAATCCATAAATTCCATAGAATCATTACACACCAAAGGCAGGTGACTTTCCAGAGCATTTACATAAGTATTTGAACACTGTCTATAAAGTAAACTTATTAATCTTAAAAAATACTAATTTAAACTTCATGTCCTTAGCAAGCCTAAATATGAAGGTTTTTGTTTCACAATAATTGATATAATAATTTCATATTCCTGTTTGAAATAAAAGTAATGTAGCTTACTTAGTATAGTGACAGGACTGTGAAAACTGTAGGTTTAGCTAGCAGATAATAAAAGCAGAAAAGGCTTAGGAAGCAATTTTAATACTTCTTTAATAACAAAATATTTAGAAAACCACAAGACTGCTTAGAAGCTGTGCAGCATCGCACACAAGAAAATTCAGAGGCATAGAAAATATGCTTTTAGATACAAGAGCCCTCTATTATTGAATCTCTCCACATTTCATAGGTAACAAAAAACTTCCAAAATAAATTTTCCAAAAGTGTGTTCAGCAAAACAAAACAGTTATCTCACAGGGGTTTCAAGCATCATTTTGAATTGTGAAAGCAGTAATCACCACTGAACTGAAGAAAACATGGTTTTGTTTTCTTAAACAACTTCCAAATATTTGTGAACTGTATTGTTTCTCTTTTTTTTTTTGGCTTGTGCTTAATTACTAATTTTGCTGCATTGTTGCTTACTCAAACCTTTCTGTGTTAAGTAAAAGGCATCAGCTTAGTTGTTTATATTATTGCAGCTCAGAAGAATATTTCTCTTAACTTAAAGGAAACTTTTAACTTATGCCTAACCAGGTTTATGCTTCCAAACAACTGTTCACACCAGCCTTCCATAGCTAAACCCATTTACTCAGTTTTGCAACAGATTCCAAGAACAAAGGACTCAACACAGAAATATGGGATAGAAGGAACACAAGCGCAAAGAACCATGGACAGAATACATTCCCAGTTCCAAAAGACTAGTATTACATATTGGACCATTACATGCGCAAGTGAAATCTCAGAATTTACTTTACTATATGATGAAGATAATTTCAGATCTCACAGATTTGAGATATTTATCTAATTTGATGCATTTGACCTGATATGTAATGTAGTAACGTGAGAAATAACAGGTAAAGTTTTAAATAAATGGGCAGCTGATTTTTGCTTAACACTAACCAAGTGTTCAACTTACATATCATTTTAAAACTATTACACTTGCATGTACTTTATTCATACCTATCCTGCTTAGACTAAAGGTTCTTTCATATATACGTGATTCAGGCAGCACAGATTTTGGCTCATTACCCATGTATTAATGTTCTTTTTTTCCCTGCTCTTTAGTGATAAAGTTACCACAACTTCTTCTGTCATAATTTTCAAGATACCAAAGGCAGTTATGAGTGGTTACTGGTCAGTCATTATCAGTGTACAAAGACATACCCTGCTGTTCTTGTATCTGCTATGTGGGTTCCACCTTTGATCTTCCCAGGAATAAAGGTTATTTCTGTTGAGCCAATTTCTCCGCCTTCCAGCTTGCCCTCACATAGATCTCGAATTATCTCCAATCCAGACAGATGCTGAGGCCTTCGAGTGACAATATGAAGTTAAAGATACATGCAAGTAGACTACATACATTAAAAGAAGTGCTAAACTCCAACTACTACAATTGCAAATTTAATATCAAACAAGGATCAGAAATTTGATATGGTTCCTACAGTACTTCTCCTGAGTTCACAGGAGCCAAAGGAGCAGCATTCAGGCCATTCCAGAATTTGCAGGATTCTGGTGTGTTTTCCACTAGAATGGGTCCAGACAGACAGATGAGACGCAGAAGCAGTTGCTTGTCCTGATGTGATATATGCTTGGACAAAAATGCAATGGGATAACGATGGCAATACTGAACTGGAGCCAAGCCAGTAACCGGTTGCCAGAGCCACAAGAAAGCAAACAGTTCCGCTATGTATCTGTCTTGCTGTGCTTGCGTTTCCATTTGTTAGAGTAATTTAAACAGGAAAGAAGTAAACTGTTCTTAATGCTATTCACTTGGCGAACCGTATTTTCCTGAGGCACTACATGACCTCAACTGCATTTGCGTTTCATATCGCGCAGGCTGGGGAAAATATTTTCGAGACGTTCTGTCAGCCTGCGGTGACTGACAAGCGGCGGCAGGGGCCGCGCCCTCACCTGCCCCGACGGCCGGAC